ACATAACTTATTTTAATAAACGGCACGATGATTATTAATAAACATTATTATTATTATTATTATCATTACTATTAATAATTACTCTCATTATTAATAATAATTATTGAGTAATACAATCATTATTAATTATTAGTATTATTAACTATTTATTATTATTATTATTCTTAATTGTTAATGATTAATTATTAATTATTATTGTCAGGTGTAGCTGCATGCAAAAGAATTAAATATATAACTCAAACATTCTTATATTTTTACTTTTATAAATTCTATTATTCTTATCATAATATTATTATTATTATTTATTATTATTATTTATTTATTGCTATTTATTATTTATTATTTATTTTTATTATTATTATTATTTTATTGCTACTATTGTACAATTACTTCTTTGCTATACTCAATATTTCTGTCGATATTACTTTTAATATTTTATTTATTATTATTGATAGTATTAATTTATTATTATTATTATTTTGTTTATTTATAATTATTATTATTATATCACCAACATAGTGAAACACTGGTTTATATAAATATCATATATATATATATACATATATATTATATTACTATATTATTATTCTTATTATTAGGGGTGGTCTTATAATATCGTTATAAACAAATGCAGCAAATGCATGCAGAACTAGTTCAGCAGCAGCAGCAGCAGCAGGAAGAGCACAAGCAGCAGCTATTGAAGCACAAACACCACCAGCAGCAGTAAAAGCAGCAGTAGTATTAGCAGCAGCAGCATTAGCATTAGGAGCAGCATCAGCAGCAGCAGAAATAGCAGCAGCAGCAGCAGCATGAGCAGCAGCAGCAGCAGCATGAGCAGCAGCAGCAGCAACTTACGGCAGCATTCCCTTTCCAATATTGCAGACGAGAATATCGGTGAAGTCCTTCCTAGTCTCCAGCCTCAACCCCTCTCCTCCTCCACTGCTGCTGCTGCTGCTGCTGCTGCTGCTGCTGCTGCTGTTGGTAGAGGCAGTGAGTGCAGCAGCAGCAGCAGCATCAGCAGCATCAGCTTGTGTCTGGAGAGCAGAGATCTTCTGCTCTACTAATGCAAATAGCCTTTCAACTCCTAGAGAAAATCCTACTGCTGGAACAGTCTTGCTTGAGAATATACCGACAAGATTATCATATCTGCCGCCCCCTGCAATGCTGCTGCTGCAGCTACCATCTGGCAGCAGCAGCACAGCCTCAAAGATAATACCTGTATAATAATCTAAACCTCTTGCAAGACTCCATTCCCACTGAATAAGTTTCTCAATATCAAGTGCATGCAGATACACCTGAAGTTGAGAGAAATCTGCTGCTGCTGCTGCTGCTGCAGGCTCCGACATCAGTTCTTTATCTTGCTGCAGCTCCACCAGCATCTCTGATACAGTCCCCTTCTTACATACATATCTTTCTAGCTTCTCTACAACAGCAGCAGATAAACCTTTTTGCTGCTGCAGCTCAGCAGCAACAGCAGACCAGGGTTCTTTGTCTAACTTATCTATAGAAGAGCATACAGACGCAAAGTCTGCTGCAGCAACACCGCATGCAGCTAGCACTCCATCTAGCAATTTTCTTGTATTGATTTTTAATAAGAAAGGGCCTATAAGCTGCTGCATTTGCTGCAGCAGCTGCAGCAGCAGCGCAACACACTCTGCATCAGCCAGCATTACTGGTGATGACTCCCCAGCTATATCAAAATCACACTGCATGAACTCTCTAAATCTACCTTTATTTAATTGAGGCTCATCTCTTCTATATACTTTTCCGATGTGAAACCTGCGGAGCTTTGAGATCCCATTCATAGCTATATATCTTGCTAAAGGTACTGTTAAGTCGTATCTAAGACATAGCTGTTCGCCCCCTTGATTGCTTAACTCGTAGACAAGTTTAGCTGCTTCACTTCCATACTTTCCTAGCAATGTTTCTTTTAACTCAAATACAGGTGTATCTAAAGGTAAAGCCCCGTGCTGCAAGAAGCAGCAAATTATCTGCTGCAGCAGCAACTCGCGAGATATTAAACAGCAGCCAAATCGATCAACTGTCCCCTTCGCAATCTTTGGGAGCCTTCTTAGTACATTAGCCCCTGCACATATATCTGCTAATGTTGTCTCCAGCTGCAGCCAGCTCCTGCTGCTGCTCTTCCTCATGTCCTTCTTGCTGCTGCTGCTGCTGCTGCTGATGATGCCGTTGCTGCTGCTGCCGCCGTTGCTGCTGCTGCTGCTGCTGATAGGTTGCACGCATGAAACTAGGGGCACTGTCGAGAAGGTTGTTGCTGCTGCAGCAACAGCAGCATTTGGAGACAGAGAAGGAGACAGTTCAGCAGCTACTGACCGCAGCAGCACCACAAAGTCCCTCACTCCCTTTGTTACAGCGAGACGCAATGCTGGCTGCTTCTTTCCTTTCAGTACTTTTGCTGCTGCTTCGTACAGTGTATCTACATCTCTAGCCTCAACACACTGCAGCAGCAAACCTGCATGCAGCCCCAAAGCCTGCTGCAACAAGCAGCAAATGTCTTCTACAGCAGATAGAGACGCAAACACCGCTCCGTTGCTGCTGCTGCTGCTGTTGCTGTCTTTGCTTATGTGAAGACCGCGCAGCTCAACCTCCGCTGCAGCTTGCTGCAGCTGCTGCACTGTTGCTGCTGCTGCTGCTACTCCTGCTGCAGTTAACCTCATCTCTTCTCGCGTACCCAAGTACTCCGCCTCGCTGGACAAAGATTCAGGCAGCACAAAGTCTTCCTGCTGCTGTTGCTGCTGTTGCTGCTGCTGCTGCTGCTGAGCCATGTGGACGGTCTCCTGCAGCAGCTTTAGCTCTGCCTGCAGCAACGCACGAGCAGCAAACTCTGTAGCTGCTGCTGCAGCAGCAAACGGAGAAGTAGCGCCCCCCATAGGCAATTCGATTGCTTCTGCTGCTGCTGCTGCTGCTTGAAGGACCGCTTCTGCTGCAGCAGCTGCTGCGGGGCTCCCTTGCTCCGCTGCTGCTGCTTGCTGCAGCGCAGCAGCAGCAGCAGCAGCAGCTTCCGGAGCAACAGCAGCAAGAGACTTGGGTCCAAGAACCTCCTTTCTGCATGCATTAGCAGCAACTGACTGCAGCATTTGAACGGGGCCCTGAAGGCTTGCTGCTGCTGCTGCTGTCTCGATAAAAGCAGCAACAGCAGAGCTGCATTCCTGTAGACTCCGTCGCTGCTGCTGCAGCTTACAATCATGCAGCAGATTTCCTAGCTGCTGCGGTACAAGGCTGCTGCTGTATGCTGCTGCTAATTCCTTCAAGCTGTTGTTAATACTGTCCAGTGGTAGCAGCAGCACTTCTGCTGCTGCTGCAGCGCAGCAAGTCGCAAGGGTTGCTGCTGCAGCGCATGCACGAGCAGCAACTAATGAACGCCCTGCTGCCTCAGCACCTTGAGTTAAAAACAGAGACATCTCCTCGAAGGAGACAGCTTCTACGTTTGCTGCTGCTGCTGCTGCACACAACAAAGAAGACAGACACGGGCGTACACGCTGCCCCCAGCCTCCAGGGCCGCAGCGGGGCAGCAGCAATTCATTCTCCCCTGCTGCTGCTGCTGCTGCTGCTGCTGCTGCTGCTTCTGCTGCTGCTCCTCCTGCTGCTGCTGCTGCAGCAGCACCTAAGCCTTGTAGCAGCTCCAGCCGTACTCCGCTCTTTTGAAGAGAGAAACCTCGCAGCAAACAAACAGCACGTGCTGCTGCAGCAGATAATGCAGCAGCTGGCTGCTGCAAGCAGCAAATCTGCTGCTGAGAGAGAGATGCATGCGAAGGTAAGCATTGACGGATATCAGCAACGCGCAGCGACGCCTTGCTGCTGTTGCTGCTGCTGCTGTGTTTGGCCTTAGCACACCCGTTAGTCAGAGTGCTGCTGCTGCTGCTGCTGCTGCTGCTGCTGCTGTTGCTGCTGCTGCTGCTTTTGCTGCCTCCTGCTGCCGCTCCTCCAATCGAAAAGCCGCCAGAGCCGAAGACAAACGCACAAATTTCGTCGCTACTAAGGGGCTTTCCCCCCACAACCAATGGTTCACTCATCTTCAAGTCCTGCTGCTGCTGCTGCTGCTGTTGCTGTTGCTGTTGCTGCTGTTGCTGCTGCTGCTGTAGGTGCGGCCGCTGGTCTTGCTGCTGGTGGTGCTGCTGCTGCGGTTCCTGCTGCTGCTCAGGTTGCCGCTGCTGTTCCTGCAGTTGCTGTTGTCCCTGCTGTTGCTGTTGCTGCTGCTGCTGCTGCTGCTGCAACAGGAAGGAATGCCGAAGAGGTGAGGTGAAGAGAGGGGCAGCGCTTGCTTTTGCTGCTGCTGCTTTTGCTGCTGTTGCAAACGCTTTGGATGTTGCTCTTGATGATGCTTCTGGTGTCGCTGCGGTTCTGTTTGCTGCTGCTGCTGCTGCCGCTGCTGCTGCTGCTGCTGCTGCTGCTGGGTAGTAGATGGGGTGTCTCTCTGGGAAGCTGTGGGGAAGGAGAGAAGTTCGCAGCTGTTTGCTGCAATCGTTTAAAAGGAGAGAGGAGAAGCCTCTGTTC